GGCTTCAGTCAGCGACAGGGAGTTGACTTCTTTCAGACCTTCTCCCCTACCCCGAAGATGACCACTCTTCGGGTACTGCTGCACGTTGCTGCTCAGCGTGACTACGAGCTCCACTCGCTTGACTTCAGCACAGCCTTCCTACAGGGCAGCCTGCACGAGGAGATCTAGCTGCGCCGCCCACCTGGCTTCACTGGGTCGTTTCCAGCTGGTACCCAGTGGAGCCTCCGGCGGCCAGTCTACGGTCTTCGTCAGGCACCCCGTGAGTGGCACGACACACTCAGGACTGCTCTTGCTGCTCTTGGTTTTGCTCCTTCCACTTCTGAACCTTCTCTGTTTTTACGCACTGACACTACTCTGCCGCCGTTCTACGTTCTCGTGTACGTAGACGACCTCGTCTTTGCTACTGCTGACACTAAGGCACTCGCCCACGTGAAGTCCGAGCTGCAGAAGAGACACACGTGCACAGACCTGGGTGAGTTGAGAAGCTATCTTGGCTTGCGGATCACCCGGGACAGAGCACATCGCACCATTACCTTGACTCAGTCACACATGGTGCAGCAGGTCCTTCAGCGCTTCGGCTTCACGTACTCCTCGCCACAGTTCACTCCTCTACCTACCGGTCACTCGCTCTCAGCTCCACCTTCGGACGAGTCCGTAGAGCCGAATGGCTCATATCTAGAGCTTGTGGGCTGCCTCATGTACCTGATGACTTGCACACGACCTGACCTCGCATACCCTCTCAGCCTTCTGGCTCGCTACGTGGCTCCCGGCAGGCACCGAAAGGTGCACTGGGATGCTGCGAAGAGGGTGTTGCGATACTTGTGCGTGCAGTACATCGGGCATGGGGCTCGTGCTTGGAGGACGGGATCGAGTTGTCCTCACTGGTCACGCTGACGCCTCCTGGGTTGACGACTTGGCTACGCAGCGGTCGTCACAGGGTTACACCTTCAGTCTTGGCTCCGGTTCTGTCTCTTGGCGGTCTACCCGCTCTTCTTCTGTTCTCAGCTCCAGATGTGAGGCTGAGATCTACGCTGGGGCCATGGCTGCACAGGAGCTACGCTGGCTCACCTACCTGCTGACCGACTTGGGAGAGGCGCCTCGTTCTCCTCCTGTTCTGTACGTCGACAACAAGGCCATGCTGGCCTTGTGTCAGGAGCACAGACTGGAGCACAGAACGAAGCACATTGCTCTGCGCTACTTCCTTGCTCGAGAGTTGGAGCAGCGTGGCCAGCTTTGTCTTGATTACGTGGTCTCTCAGGCCAACACTGCTGATGTTTTCACCAAGGCACTTCAGCCTTGTGATCATCATCGTTTTTGTACTGTGTTAGGCCTTGTACCTACTGTGCCTCACTTGCTTTCTTTTTTACTCTGCCTGTACTGTACTCTATATACATATACCTGCATGCTTACACTTGCTAGGTTGTGTTCACTGTATTGTTTGTTCTCCTTTATATAACTCTGCATGTGAACTGGCCTTGTGGCCATTTGCTTGTGCTCGGACTGCGTGGTGACTTTGTGATCCACCCTGAGCTTGCTTTGCCTTTCTTGACGGGTCTTGTGACCTCTTGTTCTCCCCCACTTTGCTTATGGGGGTGTGTCAAACTTATATTCTATAGTTTGTTTAGGCTGTAGTGGGGTAGTTCTTACAGGGTACAACACTTTTAGGTTTCCTGTATGTACCCACCTGCTTTCTAGTTCCATCATTCATTCGCTCACATTCTAACAAAAGGAAGACTCGAAATATCCTACTGTCCCACATCCGAGATGGCAGCTGACTTCTTGACCAAGAAACTCGGAAAACAGAAGTTCGAGTACTGCATGCTGCTGACTGGACAAGGACACGTCATCAACAACGATCCTCCAGAAGCGAAGGGGAGTGTTGGAAACAAGTGATTTATAACGCTTCTGTCGTATCGAAGCTTCGACACAAAACGGAACTGACTACAGCGAAGAAGCACTCGAGTCAACCAAGGCAACCGTCGGAGGTTGCTCGAAGGTCAAAGGTCTCCGATCTTTGACCTGACGAAACGTACAGTGCGACAGCAAGGACACATAACTGACTCGTTACAGAGCAGTTACCCGAGTCGGCACTATATCGAACCGCAACAGCAAAAACAGTTAAAATAGAACTTTCCATATTCCTCTGTAATCATATAAAAAGCCTTGTACTTCTCTGCTATTACTCAACTTATCTTGTTCTCACACACTAGCACAAGGTGGTTCAAGTAATTCTTCATTAAACGCTTCCGCTATTACATCTCTACGTCAACACCCGATCTAAGTCCTGAAAAGATTCTAAGGGCTTTTCTCAGCCCAACAGAAATTGGGGTGCGCGACGGGCCTGGCGCCGAGGTTGGGGAGTGTCGAGGGGGAGGTCCGGTGCGCGGGTTACCAACCGAACCGTGAGGTTGGGTCGCATCGTGAACAGTGGCGGGAATGGTGTCGAGACGAATGTCGCGAGTGGTAACGGATTACTGTGGGGTGCTGTTGGCGGGAACAGTGGTGTACGCGCTGAGCAGGGACACGAAGGAAAAGGAATTTTCCTTACATCAACCCACAAATAACGATTTCTAGCATTCCAGTGAGTCAGCATTAAGCTAATCACTTGCAAGGCAGATTACACCCTGCATTTCCCCTTAGGCACGCAAACAATAATGTTAGACAATTTAACACATCAATGCTAGCCCAAACCAGCCAACTTAACGGAGCACTGTTTATTAGTCACAGAAATCCACCCATCCCTAATTCAATACCCACAATATTGTCCAAATATGTTCCAAGGCACACAATACGCAGCGATCACTCGTCATCGGAATCAGCAAACTTTATGGAATGGCTCGCCTGGTCGATGATGCCCCCCCCTGTAGGACTTTTGGGGCGCCTCCCATGTTCCGAGGCACATTGGCACATGGCATGCAGCAATCACTCGTCGTCGGAATCAGCAAACTTGATGGAATGACTCTCCTGGTCGATGATCCCGCCCCTGCAGGACTTTTGAGGCGCCTCCAATGTTCTGAGCTGAGGCACACGACATGCAGCGGTCACTCGTCGTCGGAATCGGCAAACTTGATGGAGTGGCTTTCCTGGTCGATGACCCCGCCCCTGTAGCTGCCCCTCTACTTCTTTGTCTTATCGTGCCGGAACCCCCTGTGAAACCGCAGGTTACAGGTGCCACGAATGTCAAAACCAGGCAACAAGAAGCAGTATGACACAGATGCATGCATGTCGTGTATTGGACAAAACAAGACAATAGCACCCCGATACAAGACAACAGTGCATATACATTATGTTGACTTCACCTGCCCTTAGCATGTCTCTGTTGTTCTCACCTGCCCTTAGCATGTCTCTGTTGTTCTCACCTGCCCTTAGCATGTCTCTGTTGTTCTCACCTGCCCCTCACTTGGCCCAGCACCTCCTGTGCCCTGGCGCCCCATCCACTGCCCGCCCCACTCTGGTTCGCACAAAGCACACATGGGGAGACACGTGGAATGGGCATAACGGATGGGAGTGAAACATGGCACATGGGAGTGACATGTGGCATATGGGAGGGATACGGCATGGGAGGTGGCATGGGAGGGGCATGAGGAATGGGAGAGAAAAAGCACATACAATAAAACACCTAAAGCAGGTTGCTTTCCCATTAGCACTGTGCAATGCCACGGAACATCCATTTCGCTGTGGCACTGGAAAGCGCTCATCCCAATCACTCACCTTAGCCAATCACCAAGGCGTTCTCCTATCCATGTCCCAGACCGTGGCGCCCTCCGTGCCCCACCCCTCCTTGCCCCAGCCACACTTACCTTGGCCCAGTACAAATTATCCAGAAGCCAAGTTCCTTGAATTAAATTACACCTGAGCCAACACGCATGCCCCATCCCTCCATGCCCCAACCACCATGCTACTTTTCTGTCCCTGACCCAACTCCCATGTCCCATCCATCCCTTCATGCCCCAACCACCATGCCCCATGCTCCTCACCTTAGCCCAGTACAAGTTGTCCATGAGGCGAGGGTCCTTAACTTGCACCTGAGGCAACATGCATGTCACATCCCTTCATATTCAAACACTCGAGCCCCAAAACCCAAGCACCAACACGCATGCCCCAACTCCCATGCCCCAACATCTTGCCCCAGCACCACTCACATTGGCCCAGTACGAGTTATCCATGAGCCGGGGGTCCTTAAATTGCACCTAAGGCAACTCCCATGCCACAACTTGCCCCAGCCCCACTCACCATCGTGCCCCCCCAGCCCCACTCACCATCGTGCCCCCCCAGCCCCACTCACCTTCGTGCCCCCCCAGCCCCACTCACCATCGTGCCCCCCCAGCCCCACTCACCTTCGTGCCCCCCCAGCCCCACTCACCTTCGTGCCCCCCCAGCCCCACTCACCTTCGTGCCCCCCCAGCCCCACTCACCTTCGTGCCCCCCCAGCCCCACTCACCTTGGCCCAGTACGAGTTATCCATGAGCCGAGGGTCCTTGAATTGCACCTGAGGGGGATAGCAGGTTGCAAAGGTGTAGGGCACAGGTGTGCAGGTTCGGGAAGAGAAGAAAAAGGAGTGATGAGTGCTTGATACAAGACAGGGTGGTGTGCCAGTGAGGAGTGGTGCTAAGGAGTGCCTCTGGACTTAGCCCGAACAGCATACAGAGTGCCAGTGAGGAGTGGTGGTGCTCTATTCGGATTCACTGGAAAGGACAAGGAATCTTCGCACCTTCTGGAAAGGACAAGGAAGCCTCCCACGCACCTCAGCCTCCCACGCACCTCAGCCTCCCACGCACCTCAGCCTCCCACGCACCTCAGCCTCCCACGCACCTCAGCCTCCCACGCACCTCAGCCTCCCACGCACCTCAGCCTCCCACGCACCTCAGCCTCCCACGCACCTCAGCCTCCCACGCACCTCAGCCTCCCACGCACCTCAGCCTCCCACGCACCTCAGCCTCCCACGCACCTCAGCCTCCCACGCACCTCAGCCTCCCACGCACCTCAGCCTCCCACGCACCTCAGCCTCCCACGCACCTCAGCCTCCCACTCACCTCCTCCACCTTGACTCTCTGGAACGCTCTTGCAGCGCTGCCCAGCTTGCTGCCCGATCCCGGTGAGATAGCGTCAAAGGCCCTCTTGCTACCCGTGAGCTGGGTGGGGGATGGGGAGAAGGGGCAGTGGAAGAGGCATGGGGAATAGAGTGTGGGGTGGGGCATAGCCGTATAAGTGGGGAGTGGCGCTCTTGCAGCGCTGCCAGCGCTGAAGCAGGATGGGGGAGTGCAAGAGGCATGGGAATAGAGCATGGGCCGGGGAATGTGGTGGGGCATAGCCGTATAGGTGGGGAGTGGAGCTTTTGCAGCGCTGGAAGAGGCACGAGGAATAGAGAGTGGGGTGGGGCATAGCCGTATATGTGGGGAGTGGAATAGTAAGGGGCATGGGAATAGTGCTCTTGCAGCGCTGCCCAGCTTGCTCCCTGATCCCAGTGAGGTGACACCAAAGACACACTTGCTGCACGTGAGCTGAGTGGGGTTGAAGGAAGAAGTATGCGAAGCAAGGATGAGGCGTCCTACAATATGAGACGTAGACGAACAATAGAACTTGCAGAACTAAAATGCTGAACGCACATGTGAGCCTGACAATGCCAAGCACACGAGCCATTCCGAGCTTTGCCGCCCACCCGGTACATTGCTGCCCACCCGGTACATTGCCGCCCACACAGTACCCTGCCGCCCACACAGTACCCTGCCGCCCACACAGTACCTTGGCAGGTGTCGTCAGCCATCCATTCTGCTGCTGCTCCTCCTGCTGTTTCTGCTGCTCCTTCTGCTCCTTCTGCTGCTGCTGCTTCTGCTGCCGACCCCCTTTTTCCTTCTCCATCTCCTTCACATTAGGCTTCCTCGCTTTCTCTTCCTCCTCACTCTCCTCCTCCTCCTCTTCCTCACTACTCTCTTCCTCCTCACTGCTCTCTTTCTTTTTCACAACCTTCTTAACTTCCTCTTCCTCCTCCTCACTCTCCTCCTCCTCATCACTACTCTCTTCCTCCTCATCACTACTCTCCTCCTCATTGCTCTCCGCCTTTTTCACAACCTTCTTAACTTCCTCCTCCTCCTCCTCCTCACTCTCCTCCTCATCACTACTCTCCTCCTCCTCACTGCTCTCTTCCTTTTTCACCACCTTCTTAACTTCCTCTTCCTCCTCCTCACTCTCCTCCTCCTCCTCACTACTCTCCTCCTCCTCACTGCTCTCTTCCTTTTTCACCACTTTCTGAACTTCCTCTTCCTCCTCCTCACTCTCCTCCTCCTCCTCCTCCTCACTCTCCTCCTCCTCATCACTACTCTCCTCTTCTTCACTGCTCTCTTTCTTTTTTCACAACCTTCTTAACTTCCTCCTCCTCACTCTCCTCCTCCTCCTCACTACTCTCCTCCTCCTCACAGCTCTCTTCCTTTTTCACCACCTTATCTTCTTTTTCCTCCTCCTCACTCTCCTCCTCCTCCTCCTCCTCACTCTCCTCCTCATCACTACTCTCCTCCTCCTCGCTGCTCTCTTTCTTTTTCACAACCTTCTTAACTTCCTCTTCCTCTTCCTCACTTGCCTCCTCCTCCTCACTACTCTCCTCCTCCTCATCACTACTCTCCTCCTCCTCACTGCTCTCTTTCTTTTTCACAACCTTCTTAACTTCCTCTTCCTCCTCCCCACTCTCCTCCTCCTCCTCACTACTCTCCTCTTCCTCACTGCTCTCCTCCTTCACAACTTTCTTCTCTTCCTCTTCCTCCTCTTCACTTTCCTCCTCATCGCTACTCTCCTCCTCCTCACTGCTCTCATCTTTTTTCACAACCTTCTTTTCTTCCTCGTCCTCCTCACTATCCTCCTCCTCCTCATCACTACTTCCCTCTTCCTCACTGCTATCCTCTTTTGCTGCTACCTTCTTTAAAAATTTCTTCTCTTCCTCCTCCTCACTCTCTTCCTCCTCCTCACTCTCTTCCTCATCCTCACTCTCCTCTTCATCGCTACTCTCCTCCTCACTACTTTCCTCCTTTTTCACAGCTTTCTTTACTTCCTCCTCTTCCTCACTCTCCTCCTCTTCCTCATCACTACTCTCCTCCTCCTCACTACTCTCCTCCTTCTTCACTTTCTTTTCTTCCTCCTCCTCCTCATCACTCTCCTCCTCTTCCTCATCACTACTCTCCTCCTCCTCCTCACTACTCTCCTCCTTCTTCACTTTCTTCTCTTCCTCCTCCTCCTCACTCTCCTCCTCCTCACTCTCCTCCTCACTCGCCTCTTCCATCTCCTCATCACTGCTCTCCTCCTTCGCCTCCTCTTTGCCCTTCTCTCCCTTCTTGCCAGCCTTCTCTCCCTCTTTCCCCTTCCCCTTCCCCTTCCCCTTCCCCTTCTCCTTCCCCTTCTCCCCCTCCGTCGCTCCCTTCTTCTCAGACTTCACGTCTTTAATCTTCTTCTCCTCTACCACGTGCTTGATCTCCTTCTTATCCTTCTTCTTCCCCTTCTTATCTTCCTTCGTCTCCATCTTTTCCGTCTTCGTTGTAACTTCCGTAGTCTCCTTACCGTTTTTCCCCTTCTGAGCTTCCTTCTTTTCTTTCTTCTCCGTAACTTCCGCGGTCTCCGTCCCCTTTTTCCCCTTTTTCTCCTTCTTCGTCTTGCCCTCCTTCGTTTCTTTCACTTCCTTCGCAGCACTCTTCGCATTCTTCGCATCCTTCGCAGCACGCTTCGCATCCTTGGCGGCAATGTCCGCATCCTTCTCCTTCAGTTGCACTTGGCGCGGCACAGCCAAAACATACGATTTTTTTTTGTCTTCTTTAGTCACATCCTTTTTAGCCTTCTTCGTCTTCTCCACCCCAACGGCCGTCTCCTCCTTTCTCTTCTTGCTCTTCTTCTCCGCAGTCACTTTAATCCCCGCCATTAGCGACCTTAGTTGAAAGCTGTTGCTTCTTCCTCTCAGCGGAACCTGCAATTAGCGGTTAAATTATAATGTAGGCAGACGAAACTAGGAGGAATGCAGGAGAAAGAAGAACAGAACAGGTTTTATAATGGCGGGGTTTCGGGGTTTGTCAGAGCAAAAACTGACCTAAAACCCAGAGGAGCAACGATTGTGTGTAGAGATGCTGCCAAAAGGGAATACAGAAATTGGCCCTTGAGAGTGAGTCAAGCTGGGGCGTGGAAGTTGTACGACCAACTTCTGGCAAATGTAACCTTCTTCGTACGACGTTTCGACAAATTTTCAACCACTGGTTAATCGTCGAGAGCATTTCGCGAAATCCCAATTTGTCAACCAACAGAAATCCCATTTGCTCACTTTTTGTTCAGTGTTATGAGTGCAATTGAGCGAGCGAGCGAGAATTGCACTATCGAAGCAAAACAGTACAATGAGCAAAGGAGAACTAAATAGCGAAGGCCACAGTGGTAACGGTAACGAACTGTGCTTGACGCGCGACGGGCCTGCGACTGAGGTCGGGACTGAGGTTGGGAAAGTGTCGAAGCGGAGGCCCGGAGCGCGGGTTACCAGCCGAGCCGGGAGGCTGGGTTGCGACGTGCGAAGTGGCGGGAAGATTGTCGAAGCGAGGGTCGCGAGTGGTAACGGTGCTGAGTGAGGTGAGAACAGTAATGTACGCGTTAAGCAGGGATGCGGCGTAAGGAAAAGGAAATTTCCTTACACTACCCCCCCCCCCCCTAAGGAGGCCCTCCTTAGAAGAGTACGTGTACATCTCGGAAATTGCAGCTGCGCAGATACTCAGTGAATACAGGGTGGCTTTCGATTCTGTCCAGGGGTACCCAATTGTCTTCGGTGGGTGTGCGGTCTTTCCAGCGTATCAGGAACTCGATCCTGCAAGCTCCACGTGGGTCTCGAACTTGGTGACTCAGGATCTTCTCGGGTGTGATGATGGGCTCGATGGGTGGTCGGGTCATGCTTGCTGGGCGGTTGCGGGGCAGGTGGCTCGTGGATGGTACGTAGGGGCGGAGTAAGCTGACGTGGAAGGACGGGCTGACGTACCAGTCAACGGGAAGGAGGAGGTGGGCGGTGACGGGTGTGATCATGTGGCTGATGCGAAATGGCCCGCAATATCGGGGGCGAAGTTTTGGGGTGATGGGTAGGCGGAGGTTTTGGGTGTCGAGTAAAACTAGGTCGTCGGGCTGGTAAGTAACAGGTCGGCGGCGGCGGTCAGCGTTGCGTTTAGCGATGATATTGGCTTTTTTAATTGCGTCTGCTGCCTGGGTCCGTGCTACCTGTAAATTTTCCGCGAACTACTGTGCGCGAGCTACGTGGTTGTCAGGATTCGGGATCATGGGTACTGTAGGGTCTTGTCCGTGGTTCAGGTAAAACGGTGACTGTTGGGTCGTGGTGCATGGCGAATTGTTGTACGCGAACTCAATGAGTGGTAATTGTTGTTCCCGCGTGGTGGGGTCGTCGCACGTGGCTCGGATCAGTTGCCCCATGGTCTGGTTTGTCCCTTCTATCTGTCCGTCGGTTTCGGGGTGGTACGATGAACTAAATTGTAGTCGTGTGCCAAACTGCTGCCACAGGTTCCGCCAGAAGTTGCGGTAAACTTCGTGTCTCGATCGCTGATGATGGCTGTTGGTATCCCGTGCAGTCGAACGACGGTGGTGATGAAGAGCCGAGCTGTTTCTTCGGCCGAGATTGATTTCTTACATGCTGCGAAATGTGCCATTTTCGTGAGTCGGTCGACGACGACCAGGATTGTGTCGTTCCCACTTGCCCCAGCCGATAACCCCGTGACGAAGTCCATCGTCACCTGCTGCCAAGCACGCTCTGGGGGTGGTATCGGCTGCAACTGTCCTGCCGGCCGCTTCTGTGATGACTTCATGATTTGGCAGGTGGGGCACGATGCCATGTGTCGTTGCACGTCGGTCAACATTTCTGGCCAGTAGTAATACCACTGCAACTGCTGCTGTGTCTTTTCTACCCCAAAGTGACCTGAGGTAATTCCGTCGTGTGCCTCCTGTAATAGCAGCTCCCGTAGTAAAGTGTACCCCGGAATCCAGATGCGGTCGGTGCCGGCTTTTACGCAATAAATCCGTTTTGCTGCTGCGAACTGCTGCGAATTTCCACCTGTGAAGAATGGGTCTGTTTGATATCCATGGGTAAATAGTCCTGTCAGCAGTGGGCTGGTCTGGGCGAGTAGTACTGCATGGATTTGGGCAGTGGGGCGGGTCAGTGCGTCGGCGATGTTCGATGCCCCTTTTTTGTAGGTGACCGTGTAATGAAAATTCGACTAGAGGAAATCGAACCAGCGGACCTGTCATGGGTTGAGGTGGGGCTGTGCGCGAAGGTACTGTAGAGATTTATGGTCTGTCCGTACTGTCACGTCTGCGCCGGTCAAGTAACAGTGCCAGACTTTGAATGCATGCACAATCGCGAGCATTTCGCGGTCATGTATCGGGTACTTCTTCTCGGGCGGATGTAGTTTTCGTGATTCATATGCGATAGGCTGTAGGCCGTTGTCGAAGTCCTGTAACAGTACAGCTCCGATGGCGATGTCGCTTGCGTCCGTAATGACTTCGAAAAGACGGTGGGGGTCAGCAATGCACAGTACGTGCGGTGTACAGAGAATATGAGGGCAGAGAAGGCAGCATGCTCTTTCTCCCCTCACATAATTCCTACCCCCTTCCGCAGTAGGTCAGTCAGCGGGGCAGTTAATCGCGCCATGTCGGGGACGAACCGACGAACGTAATCAACCAACCCTAAAAACTCTGCATTTCAGTGAGGTTCATCGGGGGTCGCCACGTTTTTACCGTGTCTAGCTTCTTCGGGTCAATTTTGACTCCAGCCTCCGAAATGACGTGCCCCCAAAACTCTAGCCTGTCTTGGAAAAACTCAGACACGGAACCCTTGGTCAGAAGGCGGTTTTCGTCTAAAATCCTTAACACTACTTCTAATTCCATTAAATGCTGCTGCTTGTCGCGGCTGTAAACGAGGATGTCGTCGAGGTAAACTATTACGAATTTATCTAGAAGCCTCGTTCATGGTCATCTAAAAAGTGGCGAGGGCGTTGGTCAGTCCGAAGGGCATGACGGTGTACTCGAAAGATCCGAATCTAGTTCTAAAAGCTGTCTTGGCGTAGTATGACGGTTCGACTCGAATCTGGTGGTAACCGCCCCGTAGGTCAATCTTTGAGAATACTCGAGCTGTTCGCAGTTGATCTATCAGTTCGTCAGCGCGGGGAATCGGGTATCGTGATTTTATGGTTACTCGGTTCAGTGCTCGGTAGTTAATACATATGCGAAACCCTCTGTCTTTTTTTGGTGTGAACAGTATCAGTGCGACGAACGATGACGAGCTCGGTCGGATGAACTGCTTCTCTAACAGGTAATCTAACTGCTTCCTTAGTTTGTCGAGTTAGGGCTGTGTCAGTCAGAACTGTCGCTGTACAGTTGGCTGTGCCCCCGGTTTCTAACTCTATCTTGTGGTCGTGTGTGCGCTAAGGTGGCAGTCATTCCGGTAAGTCATTCGGGAAATGCACGGGTACCGTTTCAACAGTTCCTGTAGTTCAGGCAGTACAGCTTCGAGCAGTTTTTGAAAATGACTCAGCGCCTCTACTGCTTCCACTACTGCAATGTCTGCTGCGTACACGTCAGCTCCAGCGGCGACAGCCCGTTTCATCGTGATGGCGTTGACGTGGACCGCTGAAGACTCAGGCGATCGCCAGCGAGGTAGTTCGACCCAGTTACCGCTGCTTCGCACAGTGCAGCTGCATGTCGTCCAGTCAATTTGCGGATTGTAGCGTCGCAGCCAATTACGTCCCAGTAAAATGTCGTGCCCATCCAGTGTCGTCGCGAGCATTTCCTACGTAAACCCAAAGTTACCCCCCAGCCGACTTTCACTCTCTCCACTTTCTCGCGTATGACCAGAGGCGTGCCGTCGACTAAGCGTGCGTCTATCTCCGGTAAGCAGCGGTTAAGTGTCAGTTGAAGTTTTCGGGCGGTCGCGGTGTTAACTACGATGTGACTTGCTCCTCCGTCGATTAAAATCTTGACTGCAGTTCCCTGTATTTTCCCGTAGATCAGTATTGGGCAATCCGTCGCTGTACCCTCCTTATTCATCCGAGCCCGATCGATAGCATGAATCGGTACACTGACTTGGTGAGGGTCGGTGAGGTTGGGCGAGCAGGCTGTCTCGTCAGTAGTTGGCCCGACTTCTACTGACTGCTGGCGTTTCCCTGCCTCTAAGACTCCCTCCCTTGCTCTGCTCCCCGGCGCCTTAGTTCCTCAAGGCATTCGCTCTTGCGATGTCCTGGCCTGTTGCAAGCAAAGGAGCGCCCCTTCAATGGTGCAGCAGCTGCATTCGCCGCAACGGCGTGTACGGTGGCGTGCTCGATCGGCCCCCGAGGGCGATTTTCGTAGTAGGACCCCGGTCTCGGTCGGCATAGGATATCGATTTTCTCGGCGAGCGCTAGGATTTCGTTGAAGTTCGATAGCCCGCGAAGCATAATCTCGTGCGAGATGTCCGGCTTCAGCCCTCCGACGTAACGGTCCACCCGCTCCGCCTCGTGCATATAGCCGACCTGCTCGCACAGAGTGAGAAAACCGCTGGTGTAGTCTTGAAACGACCCGAGCTGTTGCCAAGTGCGTAGTTTCTGGCGCAGCGAAATCGAAGCCGCGATAGGTTCGAAACGCGCCTGTAGTCCCGCGCACCAAGCATCCCACGTGCTGTACTTGTCAAGAATTGACGAACAAGAATGAATGAACTAGCAAAGAGTTGGGTACAAGTACTAACCCTAGTTGGGTTGTACCCCTTATGGGCTACCCCACTATAGCCTACACAAATGTAAGTACAATAACATTCTGACACACCCCTATAGGCAAAGTGGGGGAGAACAAGTGGTCACAAGACCAGTCAAGAAAAGCAAAGCAAGCTCAGGGTGGATCACAAAGTCACCACACAGT